AGAAGAACTTTCGCCACGAAAATGAAACTTGAAGGTGGTGAAAAGAATCTCTGTCTACTAATTCGATTATTACTGTATCTATGCAAATAAAGTTTCGAGCTGTAGCTATAGGCACTTTGTTTCTATAAACTAGAAACGAGTTGATGATCAGTGAGAAGCGAGTGTGTAGTCCCGATAGTTTTATCGCTGGCGATTATACGAGCCACTCGCTCACGGTGACAGACCTCCGTAAAAATGCATGCCTCTCAGACCGCCAAGCGTGCGCCGCTGAGCGAGTATCTCTTATCTAGTAGACAAGTCCGTCTGTCTATCTGTCTGTGGTGCTGTTTCAGCGGCCAAACCGTAAGAGATAGATAAAGAGAATATTTAAGTTATAAGTTAAGAATAGTCTGATAAGACTACAAACCGGATTTGAGTAACGTAGCACGTAACGTTTTCAAGAAATCACGAATTTCAAACGAAACCACACAAAATCTCCGAAGTTCTCAATTAATTAAATACATTTTTGACGTGACAACGTCTTAAATTAGGTTGCGGCTGGGAGTCACTTATGAAAAAGTGTAACGCTCGGTAACGTTACGCTCGTGTTAAGTTTAAGTTTACATGTACAATGTTTTAGTAAACAAAATATATTTCTATAGTTAAAATTTGTGCAATTCTTATTTTCATTCAATTCCTTGTTCCTATTGTGCAATTTAATTATATTCATATCAATAAATATTCTACCGAGAAAAAGACGTTGTCACGTAAAATCTTCGCCCGTAAAACCGACTTTACAGGCAACCATTTTTATTTTTATTTTTTTAAATCAGGTTTTGGTGAACATTTGGTTCACTGGTTTGCTAGTTATCTTTAATAGCTCTTGACGCTCAGTGACAAACTGTGGAGCGAGTTATCGCCGGCAGTGTGATCTGTCAGCGATCAACTATTACAATTAATTTATGCAAAAATCTTTTCGGTGGTGTCGTGTGAAGCGGGTCGTGGCGATCCCTAAAAAAAATGGTTGAGCGAAGCGATGGCTGGTTCATGCGTCATGCTCGTGAACAGATGCTGCCAGCGGAGATGAGTCTGCTCTTGCTTTGCTAGGTACTATTAATCGTTGTACTAAACTTTAATCGTTCATTATTTTTTTTTGTCTAAACAGTAGGACACGGCATTCCTAAACTTTGTTAAACCAGTTTTTTATATATTTTTTTTATAGCCATAATTTTTATTTTATTTGCATTTGTAATGGAAAGTGACTTTATGAGTTACCTCATATTGAAGTCATTGTTCAATTTGACGACTCTATATATAATACAGGGAGAAAAAAACAGCCCTTGCTGAGTTTCTTGCCGGTTCTTCTCAGTACAAGGTCGCCCGCCGTAGATTTGCGAACCGATGGCGTAGCTTTTCGACATTTACAAGTGCTTGTAACAGCCTAGACTGAATAAACGATATTGAATTTTGATTTTTTTTTTGCATTTCTTTTGTTCACATTGACTGACCCCTTTATAAATAAACGCAGAATTAGCTTGGATTAGTTAATCCATGTTTATTTTCTGTTCATTGAATGACAAAAGGCATTTCAGTGACATGCACAAAACATGGCGTAACTATTCTTAGCTTATTCCTTGTTTAATAATAAGGTGATCAATCATTATTGTACGTTTCTTGAGCGAGAAAATAGCCGACAGTTAGTCGTTTCCTCGCCTGCTGCCCTACAACTGTCTTAGCAAACGAATAACATATATTGTTAAATGATATATTGTTTTAACGAGTTTCCGATATTCCCGCACTGTTGCAAGCGCCATGATCACTTATTAACTGGGTTACTCCGTGATCATGGCGCTTGCAGAGTAACTGGGTTACTTCGTGATCTTGGCGCTTGCAGAGTATCTGGGTTACTTCGTGATCTTGGCGCTTGCAGAGTATCTGGGTTACTTCGTGATCATGACGCTTGCAGAGTATCTGGGTTACTCCGTGATCATGGCGCTTGTTATAGTGCCGAAATATCGGAAACTCACTAATAATAACATACATGGTAACAATCCTGTGAATAACATGATTAAAAGATGTTTGCGTATTTTGCAAGGCATTGTCAAAAAGTTATAGTACATATAATGTATTTTTATTATAATGGTTATTTGCAGCGGTAAAATTGTGAGGTCAGCATAGTTATTTTTGATCCGAAATATGACTAATGAACTTTTTTGTAGTTAGTGGTATCTTATGAATAGACATTTCACACCTCCGCCGCACGTCATGGAAATTTATTTTGTGCTGTTTATTGGGTCAAAAACACAGTTAAATTGACTTCAACACATTTGTACATACCAAACCCATATACATATATGTTTTGAACACACACTATTTAAGTTTAGCCTAGCCCCAAAGTAAACACTAAAGGCTTGTGTTATGGAATACTAGGGTAACGGATAGAATACTTATACTGATACATATTTATATAGTAATACATATTTATATAGTAATACATATTAAACGTCCATGACTGGAGTAAAAATGCTCGTATTCATCACACAAACATCTGCCCCCACCGGGATTCGAACCCGGGACCTCTCGATTAGGCGATACTTTGAAACCTGGCGTACAAACCATTCTCCCATGGAGGTCGTCAAATACCTGCCTATATACCTATTACCTACATACAGGTCGCGGCACGTAACTCTAGCGCTGAACAAAACGCGGAGGGGATGGCTACGCATGGGTACGACTGGAGAGCCAATCGGCGCAACGCACGTCCACCCGCGCACCTCGTTTCCCCCCAACACATCTTAATTTTTTCATCCGCAATTTTTTTTGTAAGTCAGTTGCAGCTGTAGTGTAAGTAGTTAATAATACACTTTAACTAATACACTTTTCCAAGGAAATTCCAAAAAAAACTAAAGAAGGGGATATGTCTCTTTAATAAAGAAGACGCTAAAATCCTGGACGTGGCCTAAATCATTTAATTGATCAACCTTTTGAAACAGTTAATTGATCAACTGACTACTTTTATTGTATGTACATTTGTTTTTATTTTTTGCATATGGTGTTCACCTTTAAAATTTGTCATACTTAGCCCATATCTAACTATGTTATAATAATTTTATATGTTTGTAATTGTATAAACAAATAATGGTGATGATCCTTATTAAATAAATAAAAAATAGGCACTACTATCTTAACTAAAAACTTTGTTTACAAATGCTGGACAAAAATCAGTCGAAAATAAACTAACGAGATAAACTTCTCAAAAATTAAAACTTTAAAATTAGAATTAAAAAAGACCCTATTACTATTTTTAGGGACATCAATATATCCTGCCAATCGTATTGAATTTCATCGACGGGTTTAGGCCACGTCCAGGATTTTAGCGACTTCTTTATTAAAGTAGACATATCCATTTCTTTAGTTTTTTTTGGAATTTCCTTGGAAAAGTGTATTAGTTAAAGTGTATTAATAACTACTTACACTACAGCTGCAACTGACTTATGGAAAAAAATTCGGATGAAAAATTTAAGATGTGTTAGGGGGAAACGAGGTGCGCGGGTGGACGTGCGTTGTGCCGATTGGCTCTCCAGTCGTACCCATGCGCAGCTATCGCCTCCGCGTTTTGTTCAGCGCTAGAGTTACGTGCCGCGACCTGTATGTAGGTTATAGGTATATAGGTCGGTTTCCTTCAGCAGGGTGATGATGCCTTGCACACTCTTCTCAGTACCATCCCTCCGTCGTGATGGCATCTTGTCGGCCTTCCCGACAGACCGGAACAACAGCACTTTGCCACTGCAAATCTCATCCTCCTTGAAGTTCGACTTGCAGATCTGCAGGATGCTGACCTCGTCCATTATGTCGATGGCGTTTTTTGCACAAGATCATTTTATTGTAATTATACTTAATGCGTAACAGGCAAAAAATTTATTTATTTATTCATTGCATATCACATTCACAAAAATAAGGTGGTACATAACAAATACAGTAACCATGTGACGCCCTGCAAGGGCACAGCAGCTTTAGAGGGTTATTATCTATTTAAAATTCATTATTAAACAATTGCAAAATATAATTTATAAATTAAGTTTCAATAATTCTATACAAACAATAGCATTTGGTGTCAACTCTAGCATGACTCTCCAACCCAAACCTAAATTTGACGACAGTGTATCCTATAAGATATACAGACAGACAATACAGAATAAAAAAGTTTAGAAAATCATGCTAGAATCGACACCATAAATTCATTAAAATATTGTTATTTATTCTTCATTAAAATACCTACATTCATAATAAATTAAATTCTTACGAGTCTGAAGCATTCCATAATTTGGATAAACGCTAACAACTCGTTTACTATTAGTTATTCGGAACTCATGGCTATCACACAACGGCTGTTGCCGTGTGAGACGTGAATAATAATTCTCACTGCACAGTGGAGCACGACCGTTTCCAAGTGCGCGTCGCACTGCACTGAAAGACCAAAACAGTTTGGGATTACCTCCTATACTCATTATTTAAGAATATAAAATAACTAATAAAATAACTAATAAAACAAAGGAGCTCGATGGCGCAAGTGGTTAGCGCGTTCGGCTGCGGTCGTTGAAGTTAAGCAACTTTCGCAGTGGTCGGTCATTGGATGGGTGACCAAAAATTTATTATCTCGAGCTCCTCCGTGCTTCGGAAGGCACGTTAAGCCGTTGGTCCCGGCTGCAACTGCAGTCGTTAGCACCCACCAATCCGCACTGGGCCCGCGTGGTGGGTCATGGCCCAATCTCCCTATTCCATCCATAGGGAAGGCCTGTGCCCCAGCAATGGGGACATTAATAGGCTGATGATGATGATGATGAATAAAACAAAGTGATTTTGTAACTAAAATGAATATAACATTATTTCTTTCAAAACACGGTTTATCTAAATTTTTACGCATTTTTCGACTATTGATACTACCAAAAAAGGTAAAGTGTCATATTACTGGAGAATAGTTTGATTAAAGAAAGCATAGCTTTACTCAAATAGCTTCTACAATGGAGATTGTTTGTGGAAAATACCCAGGAGCAAAGTTACCCATGAGCACCCACGCTCACGGGTAACTTTTATATAGGTGTGTAACTTTGCTCCTTATTCATAGTTTTATATAGGTGTATTATGAAATACTTCATTACGTTGATTTAAAATATGTTAGATAACATATTATTATTTAAATTAATAAATCTGAATATATTTCATAATTAATAGTGTGAACAATATTCATAATTCCCTTTTTTTGGAGCAAATAATGGAGCAAAGTAGGACCATTTTACCGGTACATTAAACAGCCAAAAGCCAGCAATAATGTACACAGCTGGAATAACATAAAATACCAAAAACAGAAATTAAAATAAAAAGAAGAAAAAAACAACAATGATGAAACAGACTTCAATACAATGACTCGATAAACACCGCACGCCCTGATATCGGGGCGCGCTACCCACGGGACTATAAGCCCTTTTTTGTGATAATTAGAGCCTACTTTTGTATTGAGAAGTTTAACCATAGATTAACTTGGCGAAATGACCTATCTCTAGAGCCGTAAAGTTTAAATAGCCCGCATGAATACTGCTTAAGCGTTCCCCAAGCAGTAAGTGATGAATCAAAGAGGGCGGAAAGAATGAAAACTATTGATTTTACCATAGAAAAATCACTAATTGGGTACGAGTTTATTAAACATTCATGTATCTGCGCTCAACCCAAATGAAATTAGAAATATGCATAAAATACACAATCCATACTAATATTATAAATGGGAAAGTGTGTTTGTTTGTTTGTTTGTTTGTTTGTTTGTCTTCTCTTCACGCCTAAACCGCTGAACCGATTGTGTTGAAATTTGGTAAATGTATAGCTTGAACTTATGAGCCTGCTATAGGCTACTTTTTTTAAATTTATATATTCGAATTTACATAATTTTCAACTAAATTAATCATTTTCATGGTTGGTCCCGATAGAGATGGCGCTACTGTCACGAAGACAGATTAAATTTGAAATGTGGAAGTTGCTATCTTAACTTAATAATACGAGATGGCACCACTCGTGTTCAATACTTAATTTAATTTCAAATACTACGAGTATTTTGTCTTAGTGTTTCATTTATTAAATCGAGGTAATTTTACGCAATTTCTTTCTAATCTTATTTTTAAAATTAAATCTAGCAAATACTACTCCAAATTTATAATATAAAAATATCATTTTCGAGTGATTATAGACTGAGATGGCGCTACCATCTCGAATACCAACTCAACCGAGTAGTCTCTCTTGAAATAATATTTTCTGAGTAACTTATCAGATGGCACCACCCGTCTTTAATATCGAGAATTTTTAATTGCTAAAAATGTGAGTTGTGATATTGCGTTTTTTCAGATCGCGCTATTTATGAACATGACTTTTATTTATTGTTAATTTTAACGTCATGTAGGTAGATATTTTAATTAAAACAATATTAGTAAAAAAAACGACTTCCTTCAGTGTCCTAATATCTTACCAGAAAATCTTATAAACATCAAATAGATATTAAATAATCAGCTGTTTACAGTAGACAGATATTAAATAAACAGCTGTTATGATTTATTTTAGTCCCTTAATCGAGTATTATCCAATAATTTTCAAGTGGAGATGATCCTGGATGTTGAGTAGAGGTAGGCGCTACCAACTCGAATAACAATTCGAAAACCAAGCTGTTGCGTGTGAAACTGAAGAGATGTCGCTACCCGAGTCAAGTTTACTTGCACTAAAAATCTGAGGTTTTTCGGATGGCGCTATTCATGAACATTACTTTTTTATATTTATTGTTTTTAACTAGCTGTTACCCGCGGCTACGCTCGCGTGGTTTTCCTATTTGAGGCTGTTTTTAAGGGGTGTAAACAACCCCTTAATGGAAAAATTGACATTGAGCCATTTCAGCAGGTAAGCAACAGCAAGCAGTAGGTAGCTACCTACCCTGATTGATTTTAAAGAAATACGATTTACCAAGGTACCATATCTGTTTTTGTTTTCCTTTGTGATTTGGTTTTGTTGTGCATTAAATGAATTAGGTAGGTATTTTGGTAGTTTATTCGAATGTATAAAATTGACTCACTGATAAAAATTATGGGAAAACACATAACATCGTGTACAGTAGCGTACTTAAATAGTACTGCTATGTGTTTAAAATAATTAAACCCTTTATTCTAATAATAATACTAATGCTTTTACATTTTGAAGTTTTATTACGTACTATCCATAGTAGTATTAGGTATTATTATGAGAGTGTTTGTTTTGTTTATCCTTCCTCGAAGCCTAAACCACTTTGAAATTTGGTAAGTATATATAGTGCAGTCATTGAAGCATTATTATTCCGAATTTTTTTACTGTGAACCGAATTGCATACAATTTTGGAATTAGGTTCATCTTACCCTTAACTTCAAAAGTGAAAATGATGGTTGCCACCCCTTCTGGGGGGTGATTTTTTTTGAAAATAAGTATTGTAATAAATTTTAAGCAAAAAATAATCTATAAAGTTTTTCAAAAAATCCAATACTTTTCAAGTTATTGGCAATTGAAAATTCGAAATTTTTTCCCGTTTTTCATCGGTTTTTTGCAAATATCTCAAAAAATGTAAGTTTTATCGAAAATTTTATAAAGAATAAAATTGTAGCAGGTAAAACAATGAACAATTTGGTTTTTTTATAGAGTATTCTAAGTGCAATATTAAGCTAGATATCAAAGATCAAAGCCGTTTTTTATTTTGTCTGAAATTTAATCGATGTGGTCAATGCCATCTAATACAAAATCTTTTTATGTCATACCAAAGTATTTTTTTGTGATTTTTTCAATTTAGGGGTTGTTTGCAAGGGTTGTAAGATTTTCAAGGGGTTGAAAATGATTTTAATATGGGGTAATTATGTTAGAAAATACTTTACAATTTCATGACTTACTATTATTAGACATGTTTTCTAGCTATAAAATGGCTCAATGTCAATTTTTCCATTAAGGGGTTGTTTACACCCCTTAAAAATAATAAGCGGAGTTCAGATCATTTTGACTTTTGAAGTTAAGGGTAAGGTGAGCCTAATTCCAAAATTTCATGCAAAACGGTTCACAGTAAAAAAATTCGGAGGTAAGACCGTATTTTTCGCTTCAATGACTGCACTAATAGGTTGAAGCTTTGGGTTGCTATAAGCTACTTTTTTACTCACTATGTCAAAAGAGGATGATAGCCTCAAATAGGAAAACCACGCGAACGTAGCCGCGGGTAACAGCTAGTAAATATATATGTGTATATTTACTAGCGGCCCGCCCTCGCTTCGCTTCGGTGTAGAGCTGAAGTGTAGACTACAGTTTTTGTTCTCAGGCTTGTATTATACACAATGACAATTATCTATGATTCTTTTTATACCTGCATGCAAAGTCTCAGCCCGATCGATTTAAAATTGACAAAGTTTCATACCAACTTTCATTCCCTATTTTATCCCCTTGGAGATAGAATTGATCAAAATCCTTTCTTAGCGGATGCCTACGTCATAACATCTACCTGCATGCCAAATTTCAGCCCGATCCGTCCAGTGGTTTGGGCTGTGCGTTGATAGATCACTATTACAGTCAGTCAGTCACCTTTGAGTTTTATATATATAGATAGAAGATAGATATTTAAATAAAAGACACCTTTTTCTGCGGTCCATTAGAATGCTTTTAAAAGCTTGAAATAAACACATTTACAAAGCGTAAACGTGACGTCAAACACTGTGTTAAGGTGACCTTCTGACCTTCTTACCGCCTTCATTCAGAACCAAAAAAATTGTGGAATATTCTCTAAAGACTCGTAATGCTGGTGCACAGGTCTTCTCTATGGATGGAATAGAGAGATTGGGCCATGCCATGACCCAACACGCAAGTCCAGTGCGGATTGTGGGTCCTAACGACTGTAAATGCAGCCGGGGCCAACGGCTTAATGTGCCATCCGAAGCACGGCAGAGTTAGAGATAATAATTTCTTGATAAAGATATCCTATAAAGTCTGTGTTCAAAGTCCAATCGATATATTTTCCAAAATTTATATGAAAAAATCAGAGTTTTCTCTGATTTTTTCTGGCATGCATGAAACATCAAAGACGGCCAGAGATTTTTAAGCATTTATATTTTAAGTTCATTTTATAATAGTGATAATCGCTCACCATCGAAAATTGCATTAACGAATTCATAAACAGCTCCTGATTCTTTAATTACAAATCAATTAAAAAAAAATTTACATTTAGATATTAAATTACACTAAAACTAGACAAAAATTAAAAAAATAGCTGCCCTAAGTCTTCCCCGTCGGCAAAGGTTCCCAGGACGCTGGCGGCATTTCCCCGCTGAATGGCGAGGCTTATGCGCTGGGCGAAATAGCTCCTGATTATACTTTTACAACGGCGTATGAAGGATATGCGCTAATAAGCATGCGGTTACTCTTCGATTCAGCTCTTTATACAATCCGAGTAGTGATAACACCGTTTAGTGTCTATTCAAACGCGATACAGTGTGCGCGGGCGCAAGTGAACGCGTCACTAACGTAACTTACGAACTGTTAGGAGAGCTAAGCTTTTGGCTGGGTGTAGGTAAGGCAGTGTTTTGTTATCAAATATCATAGTATATTAACAAGGTGCTGGGTTATAATTATTGTGTTATATTCAGGAAATTTGTGTTTAAAAAGTGCATTATTAGTAAGAAGCTTGGGTTTAATCTATACCATGGTGTGTTATTAAGCTTAGGTTAAGTTAACTTATTTTTAAATTTTATTTTATTTTATTTTAAATTAAATGGACCACTTTTGAAATTAAATTAAATGAAAAACCTTTATTGGCCATCTTACATAATAAAAATACTATAAATATAAACAAAAAATAAAAGAAGAACTTAACCTAAAAACAAAAAATAACAACATAAAACTAAGACGGCCAATCAAGACCCTGCCTCAGCTTATGCTGACACAGTGGGAGAATACTCTCTCACTGTATCATCGCTGGTATTCTGGCAGGGCCTGTGCGAGGACGTATTAGGCGCTAACAAGTAACACTTAATATTTTCTTGCCTGTTCTTTTTCGGTTTTTTCAGCTATAAGAAAGTAATTCTAATTTGGTAGGTCTATAAAAAAATATTGAAATTTATTCTGCATTTTATACAATTCTTTGCTACGCTATTGAAACTCTCGATAGTTCTTCGATTATCGATATTAAGTAGATATTTTTTTGCAATATGGTTCGAACTGAAATCAAGATACACCGGAATGATTATATATATATATATATATATATACTTATAGCTTATCCCAACAATGTGTTAAGATATTGTAATAATCTACTAATATATAAAATTCTCGTGACGCGGTGTGCGTAATTGAAGTACTCCGAAACGGCTCGACCGATTTTCATGAAATTGTATATGCATATTTAGCAGGTCTGAGAATTGGACAACATCTATTTTTCATCCCCCTGTAGATGTTATATGATCCAATGATAAGGATGGTCCACCCTTAAAAATTTTCTTTGGACATTTTTTTTTCTTTTTTTTATGATACGTCAGACAAAAATACATACACAACCCAAAATTTTCACCCTTCTACCACTAACCCTTATTTTTTATGGTATAACGAAGATCGCTGGGACAGCTACCTACTAATAAAAAAAAAAACATCGAAAATACTCGACAAGTAAAGGGAAACGTAATAAAATAACTCTTCATTATAACACTAAGTTACAATGTAAAATTGACATAGTGATAATGAAAAACTGTAAAACCGAATCAAACCAATGAAAATTATCGAAATAATGGGTAATTAAAAAAAAAAACGAGCGAACTTGCCACAATCACAAATAATCATATATGATTTGTTTAAAGAAACTCATCAACATTGACGTATAAAAACAAACAAAAAGTCTTTATGAAAACTAAATAGTTCACAATCAAATTAACATAGTTCAGAACAGGTACAATTATGTATACCTAAATCAAGTTGAATTTTAAATAATTCCATAAACCTACATTATGAATTCTGAAAGTTCCTAAATCAAGTAGAATTTTAAATATTTCCATAAACCTACATTATGAATTCTGAAAGTTCCTAAATCAAGTAGAATTTTAAATATTTCCATAAACCTACATTATGAATTCTGAAAGTTTGGAAAGAATGGGGTGTACATTTTTGTATTTTTTACTACAGTGAAAATGACGTGGGACGCTTCATGGTAGCGACCACGTATTCATAGCTTAAAGTACATGTAATAGGAGAGCATTACTCGCCTACCCTGACCCCATCCCTTATCCTGTGAAGCCCTGGACCCTGTACATTGTCAGAAACTCAACACCGCCAAAAGGCACTGTTATTTCATTGCAGTCTTCTGTGAGGTGAAGGTTACTCATAGGTGAAATCCAATTCGAGACACCAATTCACTATGTCGCTTAAGTTAGATGTAGCTTTTATAAGTACCTATATTTTAATCCACTATTTAAAAAATAATGTATTAGTCCTTATGTAATTAAATTGAAAGCAATTTTAAAGTTTTCCTACAACTTCAATTGAATCTTGAAATAATCGAAAAATCAATCTTCTTGTAGCAAATTCTACACAGAACCCTGTACATTCGAGTGAATGTCATTATATTTCTAGCACAGTCAACTAATGAGGCATGTAAACATTGAAAGCAAACATCAGATATTATTAATAAATGAACAAGTTCCATTTAGTCTACGGTATCTTAAAGTAAGCAAGTAAATCATCCGTTTTATAAACAAATACGTTATGAACAAAATGAAAGTTATGCGTTTTCTTATCAGAAGCACTGATAGTGTAATAGTTAGGTAATGTTTTTAAGTAAAGATTGGCATTATTGTGTCTAATGCAATCAAAGTCAAAAGTCAATATCAGCAATTTACTTACATGAATCTGTTTATATAATTTTATGAAACTGTTTAGACGACATAACAAAAAACATGCATTGCGTAACTACGATGTATCAAAGGTGAAAATAGCAGGACATGCGTGGAAATTAAACAATTAATGATCATTAAATTACAGCTCCTATGCTCTACAATAATAGTCATTATTATAATTATCATTATTACCCTATTAATGTCCCCACTGCTGCAGCACAGGCCTATGTTTTAGGTGGCAAAGGGAGATTGAGCCATGACCTGCCGCTTGAGCCTTGATAGGTGGGTTCTAATGACTGCAGATGCAGCTAGGACTAACGACTTAACTTACCTTCGGAATCTCGGAGGAGCTCGAGATAGTAAATTTTTGGTCACCCATCCAATTACTGACCACTGCGAAAGTTGCTTAACTTCGACGTGAGTTATCAAACCATTGCTCATAAATCATGGTAGTGTCCGAAACTAGAACGTTGATTGAGCCTTCTACTTTTTACTGTAGTTCAGACAGCAGGCGGGACTCAAACCCGCACCCTCCGCTGTTCGGGTGGATGCACTGACCATTATATAACCGCCGCCCTAAAGGCCGTATCGAATTGTTTCTAGTGCTTCTTAGGCTGCAAGGCAGCGCCATCTATTCGCATTATGGGGAACCTACAATGACAAACGAAAACCTTTAGTACAGTCAATCTGTAGGTTGAGGGTTGAAAAAAAAACCTAAAGGATAAGTCTTGTTTTTTCTGTTGCCAAATGACGTCAGTAAGCCACCTTGGCGATGGGCATGTTCAACTCGTAGGCGTTTTTTTAAAAACTCAAAAAAACTGTCAAAAATTTTTTGAAACGCATTTTTCTTATTTTGTATGCATTTTAGAAACTTTTTTTTTACCATAATTGTAGAGGGCGTTGAGTACTACAATTTATGTCAATGTTGCAATCTCGTACAACAAAAAATGCGCATTGTGGCGCTAAAATCTCAAAAAAGTGTTTTTTCACTTTTTCACCCTGAAAATATCATTTTAATGGAAAACTTTAAATGGCAAAGTTGTTTCGTACATAATTACCAACAACTTTTGTATAAACAATTTTTTTGTATTACTTACCGTTTTCAAGTTATAAATTGCGCAGGTATGAAAAATCCAATAGAGCGGTTTTGGGCAGTTCAAGTACACATTTACAGTGCACATTTCAATGTACGTTTTTACTATTTTTTTCAATCATGAAAAAAAATAAAAATAAAACTATTTTTTTTTTCATTTTTTTTTTGTTTTTCAATCATGAAAAAAAATAAAAAATAGTAAAACGTCCATTGAAATGTGCACTGCAAATGTGTACGTGAACTGATCAAAACCGCTCTATTGGATTTTTCATACCTGCGCAATTTATAACTTGAAAACGGTAAATAATACAAAAAAATTGTTTATACAAAAGTTGTTGGTAATTATGTACGAAACAACTTTGCCATTTAAAGTTTTCCATTAAAATGATATTTTCAGGGTGAAAAAGTGAAAAAAAACTTTTTTGAGACTTTAGCGCCACCTACAATGCGCATTTTTTGTTGTACGAGATTGCAACAATGATATAAATTGTAGCACTCAACACCCTCTACAATTATGGTCGAAAAAAAAGTTTCTAAAATGCATACAAAACAAGAAAAATGCGTTTCAAAAAATTTTTGACGGTTTTTTTGAGTTTTTCAAAAAACGCCTACGAGTTGAACATGCCCATCGCCAAGGTGGCTTACTGACGTCATTTGGCAACAGAAAAAACAAGACTTATCCTTTAGGTTTTTTTTTCACTGAAACGATATTTTTTTCGACAGATTGACTGTACTACTTTACGAGTATTAAACATTTGAAAGAAGAAATAGCAATTGAAGTTTGGAAGAATAGCAACTGCTAGAGTTAGTAGTTAGATGTTTAAATTCAAAGAAAATTTTACACAAAAATATAACTTGTATTCGTTCGTTCAAACAAAACGTCAATTCGTCAATGGTCACATTTTTTAAGGTTCTCTCTTTTCAGGGAAGGCAAAGGGAACAATGCCCATGCAGCCTAGTCCTAAGATTTATTATGCTTATTTTTTTACATTAGAATGTCGGTGTGACGCATTCTACGCGGACCAGGCAGCAGACGGAACTCGAAGCGGAAGGTGTGGGTCCGAGTTCAGTCTGCTGCCAAGACCGCGTGATATATTTTCTAGTAAAATTTTCTTTATATTCACACATATAAGATGATTGATCGATCGACACACAAATAACCCATACTTTACGATATATCATCAGTAGGAAACTTTGTTTTATTTTTATTGAAACGTTTATATGTGCGTCACTCTTGCACTGACCTGTCGCGTGTCAGATGTTAAACATTTCACAGCTTATTGGGACTAGTTTTCTTTCGAATGCTATCATAAAAATGTCAGCGCTGTTTTAGTTAACTTTTAAGCTTTTAAGTTAACGCCAAAATATAGTAATTTATGTTATAGGAGTTTACTCCTTTAAAATCGATTTGTATAAGGGGCCCGGTATGAGAAAAATGTGAGGAGTAAAATCTATCGATGAATGACATTAATGACCTCGTTACGTTTTTGTACGCAACCTCATCTGCGCACCTTTCACTTTTAGCCATGGCAACGGATAAAAAACATTAAGTTGTCACAAATGTCAATAAAATAAATAAACTAAAAATAGATAAAA